TCTTTATTTCAATAGTCTTTTGATAGTATGAGAGTGCCAATAAGTTATTTCCCATAAGTCGATATACTTCACCAATGTTGTTATAAGCAGCTGCAATCTGCAATAGATTAGGTTGTAGGGTTCTAAGATCAATATTAAGAGCAGATTCATGATATTCTAATGCATTGTGAAGATCATTTTGACGACATAAAATTGAACCAATATTGCAATAGGTTGCAGATAGTTCAGGATCATTGGATGATAGATAAACTCATTTGACATTGAGAGATTTCTTGTTATGAGAGAGTGCTTTAGAAAGAGCTTCTTTCATAGAACTTATGTATCCTAGCATGTGGTAGACGTGAGCAAGTTCTCTCCAATCATGATTGCATATCGTCTGTTGAAGCGTCTCATAGATTTCTTCGGCTTTATTTAATGCGCCCATTCTGATCATTAGTTGACCTAAACGATGCAATCCTGTTGATCTTTTTGTCTCTATTCTCAGGTATTCAGTAAGACGGTTCAGTTGTTCATCAGAGTCTTTTGTTAGTGACAAATTGACTTGCCATAATCGATCATTCATCTGTACAACTTCATCAATTCTGAATACTGAATGCATTGAGAAAAGAAACTCTTTTTCCGAATCTGAGAAATAACTTATATTATCTATCAAAGCGAATTGAGTTGATGAAAGTGTTGAATCAATTTGCATTCTAAAGAGAACTCCTATTAAAGCGGGATCACTTCGAGCACTCTCTGAAAGGTTTTTGCCACTTCTTCATCAATACTTGTCGATAAGAAATTATTAAAAGAAAGAAGAAAACCTTTACTTTTTCTCAAGTTGTCAAATTCAAAATTCGGTACTCCTTATCCTCGATACACAGTCAATGAATGACGATTGTTCGATTCAAAGAATATTTGCACGATGTATCTATGGAGATCTTAAACAAAATATCCCATTTTCATGATAATTTCAGTATCTTGTACTCTGCTAGCTCTATTGATTACTGAATATATAAATGATTCTTTTGTATACCACCAAATAGGCGAATGAAGATGATACTCTCGTTCAAATTCATCAATATGAATACGTTGGTGTTCGCTATCAGAGTTTTGTATACGACAAAAATCAATAAATTTTTGCTTTGCTTTATCATCATATTTCATATCAAGAATAATCTCTTTCAATAACTGAGAATACATAAATGATTGATTAAGCTCATTGATATCATTGACAGATGAAGATATAAGAATACTAATTGGTGTCAAATCTTTTTCCGCTTGTTCAATGTTTTGCTTAATTTCATCCAAAATAGATCCGATCTGACTAAATAGTCCTTTTACTTTTCTCCAATTATTTATCGACTGTTTACATTTTGATTCTTCAGTGCAAATCACATAGATTGAATTGAGTTGAGGTATATATCTTGAACAATTGGTAAGATTTGTTCCGTAAACATGTCTGATATAATTAGGAAAATATTTTTCTCTCAAGTTTTGTTGAGAAATTCAACACACTGATTCAAGTCGTTAAATATTTCTATTGTATTATAAATACGTCGAAGTTGATTGATTGACTTGTAACTATCATCATCAGATTCATTCATGTTTAAAGACAAACAAACGACAATATAATCTGGAATAATGAGATGTGAATGTATCAAATCATTATTCTTAACCTTCTCTTGAAAATTGTCACATACAATCTGTAAATTGTTTCTTGTTTCGATCGACATTGTTGAAAATTTATTCTGATCATCAACATCATCAATTCGTATAGGATTTCTCTTTACTTGATTGAAAGATAAGTTTGTGTTAAATTTCGAGTATTCTTGCTCCATTATATATTAAAGAGCACCATAAATGAATAAAACCATTCAATAAATGATGTCGGTATATGATATAAATGCGTTTTATTTATGTAAACCTTCCTCTTTTCTTGTTATGCATCATTGATGCGCATGCTATCTTTTGCTTTTTCTCTACACAACATTTGTCAATCATCGCTCATGTAAAATATAACCTAAAGAAGTGTTTAAATACTTGAAAATATTTACTTAATTATTATAAAATAAATAAAATTTATTATAATTTATTTTTCTTCTTAATTTTTAATTTAATAAAGAAATAAATAAACATCTCTAATAAGTGGAATACATTCTACAATTATTTAATAATTAATCGATGAAAAACAGCAAAATAAATCTATATATTAGTTTAAATAAATAAAGACACATAAATGAATATATGTTCAGTCTATAAATAACTTCTATTATGTCATCGATTTTATTACAATTAATATAAAATTATTTTAGAAATCAATGAAATTCATTATTATTATTATTATTATTATCATTCATAACGAACTAATACTTTTAAACAATTCAGTTCGATGATAAACTTTTGTTTAATATTATCATTTTCTAAAAGTATTTTAAAATGTCACAATTCTTTTTATTCGACATATATATTCAATTAAATAAATCAAATATAACTTATGTTCATTTCAGAGAGAAGTGGTTATGAGCTTTTTTGAATAAATTTTGATAAGAATGAGATAGACACCTGAGATTTTCACTATTGGAAAGAGCAGATAAAGACGCATCGAGCCATCTAAAGAAAGATTTTTCTAATTACTGTTCTACTAGTTTCACATAAAACTTCAAGAAAATCAGCATGCCTCTAATGGTTGCGATGATAATTTATTCAATTTCAGGAATATGCTAGAACGCCAAACAAAGAGCCACAAAATTAAATCACAACTTTGCAGTATTCGAATAAAAAAAACCACTTATTTTTAAATCTAGGAGAACAGTGCAATTCTTTGAAAACATTTGTCTAAAATCATTCGACAAGTAGTTAGAAAAATCTTGTTTTGTGTAATTCGATACATCTTTATTTTATCTTTCTAACGATGAAAATCGCAGATCTCTATCTCATTTCTATCAAACATGAGTCCAAGAATGTTTACAGCCACTTATGTCTGAAACAGACATTCATTTTACAAGAATTCTTTATTAAACGAACTACAAATAATATAATTAGCTTATTCTGACTATAATTAGAATACGAATCAATGATAATTGACTAAATGATACAAGAATCGATCCGACAGTAAGATCCTATGAATTCTTATTGAATTTTATCGTATATCATTCATGCAATTCGCTTTATGATTTCTCTGCGAAACACTGATAAAAAAAATAACAAACATTTCTTAGAGAATTCTAAAGTATGACTCAATAGTTTACACATCTTCTTTTTTATTCATCTCAATGAGTACGACTAAGATTTTCTATGATAGGAATAGCACTGGTTGCCTACGGTTTTTGCTCATACGAGAGAAATCGATTTGGAAAATTGAAAATAGTGTATTTCATGTGCTGCATAAGAACATTTGTTCAAGAGCTAAAATTATATTTTTTCTCATCTTTTTATTAAAAAATTGTCGTGATCTTCGTTTTTGTGTGGGAGCGTCTAATATAAACTAGTGAAGTCAAATATGTGATTTTGTGATAAATAACAATCATTGTCGTATGTAAAATGTTATAGTTACACTTAAGATATAGCAATGAAAATGATGACTGTTAATGTATTCTCATAAATCTTTCATCTTGATAACAGAGTCTATAAGTCAATATCTTCTATCATTCATATCAACACACTTTTACAACACTTGATTATATTCAAAAATATTATCGAATGACATTCATTATTATTAGTTATAATAATTAATAAAGTTCGTCATTCATAGTTTCATTCTAATCGATCTAAATCTGTTCACAAACTATAAGAATTTGTTGAAATATATTTATTTCAGTTTATTCATCAACCAATTACATCTATTATTTCTTCTCTTCTATAGATCACGTTAACAAAAAGTCCGTAGAAAAATGTATATAATTAAAAAACTATACATGGCAACGGTAAAACATTAAGATTAATGTGCATATTTAAGTACACATTATTTTTGTGTGCTATTCTATACATGATCTATGTCACATGATTTTACAACCACATTAAACATATCTGACGGAAAAATATAAAAGACTTCATTAGTAAATAATAAAGCGCCACCAAAAGGTTCATTACCATCACAAACTTTATGAAATAATTGTTCACTATGACAATTATTGAGTGCTATAAACGACTCACCTAAAACATTCTTTATGTAACATATACAAATGTAAGGAAGAGCCTTATCCAATGTAAAACCATGATAGAGTGGTACAATATCTAATGTTTTAGTATCACATGTTTGTTCCGAAGAAGATCTCTCTTGTATTTGACAATAAACATCTGTATATGGATAATAATAAACATAATGATATGCATCAACTGATGAAAAATTAAAACAAAGATCATCATTTTGACAAGTTTTCAAAGCACATCGAGATTCATCTAGATATATTGTTGTATTTGCTAAAATAATACAAAAGTAGTTGGGGTGTGGGTGTGGGTTTATCAGGAAAAGAATAACACCCACACTCACACACCCCACACCCCACACACACACCCATAAACTCACACCCACCCATACCCACCACACCCTTCATCCGGACCCGCATACAATTGCGCATAATGAGATTGACGCTAATATCAAGTTACGTACACCTACCCACTCTTTTGGAACATTGGATACTAGCTGTGTTGAAGACTGTAAATCGATATAAAGCATGGAAAGAGCCGAATATACAGTCGAGGATCAAGCGAGTCACTCAGACGAGCGTTACTTGATATTTATTGATAGATTATGTAACCAATTGGAAAATAATATTCTTTTACAATATAATTTACCTCTATTTGTTTCAGTATACATTGTACCATAGTTTTTTCATACTCTATCTCACCTAATCGTTCAACACCATCATCTTTTAATTCATTGAACATTGTTGAAATGGTTATTGTATCAACCTGAAAATCAATCAACAATAGAACATTTTTTTAAAAGGATCTGTAGAAGGAACTTTTTGTAGAGCTATATCTCCGGTATGAAGTTCAATTGACCCATTGACTATAATCTATTTTTTTAAAATATCAGTTGAAGAACAAAAAAGTTCGGACTGTTCTATTATTGATTTTGATATTTGTTTGTTGGATATCGATGCTTTAGGTACAGGATACGATTGATAATAATGTTTTAGTTCAGTTTTAAGAGAACAATGATTATGCTGCGCAATAGATCTTAAATATTGTTCCTCTTTTTCAGCAATAGGCGTAAATAGTGGAATACTTTCGAGCGTTGTTGTTGATGATGATGATGATTGAAGTAAAAGTTTTTGAATAGAAGATTCAATTTCATCTTTTAAATATCGAGGTGCTGAAAATTCATTTAATCTTAATCGTAAACAAACATCAAGTTTTACATATTTTCTTTCAATATTTGTCAATTCATTTGAATGAGTTTCAATAATACATTCAATCTTGAGAAAATTCAAATAAAGAATAATTGATAGAAATAAAATCAAACATTACTTACTTCATATGTACTTATTGGATTTAATGCATGTAATTAGAATATTTGTTTCGATAATATTTTAAATTTGTTTCATTATTTCACTTACTTTTCTATCATAACCAAAAAGAACAATTTGCTTTTGTTTGGTTGTTTGGAAAAGACATTTCCTTATAATTAGAATTTCATCATTTGTCATTTCTTTTGATATTGTTTTCTTTAATTCACTTTCAAATTGTATAGATCGTTCGTGCGGAAATGGCAATGGTATTATTTCTTGTGAAATATCATTTTGCATAAAGTACGTCAATGTTTCAATGTCAGTAGTACTGAATAATTGTTTTCGTAAATAATACATGAATAAACTACTTTTTTCTAGTTTGAAAACTGGAATTAAATCAGTGATATTTTGATTCACAAGGTTTTCAAGAAGCTTGAGTTTTTCTTCAGTCATTGTAAACTAATCGAACCATTTCAAAACTAAAATTAAGGAAGAAAAAAAGTGTCAATACAGATTTGTGATAGAAATGCATTTTAATATCGTCTTATTGTTGAGCAGTTCGAAAGTTTAAGATTTCTTATGTAGCTGCAGGTAGGTGTGCGTTAGAACTTTCATTTCTATAGTGGGTTGATGTGTGGGTGAGTCAAGAGAGAACAAGCGAAAATGCCATACTTCAGCATACTCCCTGTACTTTCAGACTATGTCATAGCTGTGAATCAGATCTCTTTAGCTATTTCAAGTCTACTATCAACCCCATGTTATGGTTTAGTAGCCGGACTCCAGCCTACGCAAGTCTGTCTGACAAAAGAGTACAAATACTTCATTGTACTCTCAATTTGAAAGCGCAGTAAAGTACTTGAGCTTTAGGGAAAGGTTGACTTAAACAAGCTGGACTCCTGCTAATATACCACAACTCATGTCAATAGTAGACTTGAAATAGCTAAAGAGATCTGATGCGCAGTTATGACATAGTCTGGAAATACAGGAAGTACGCTGAAGTACGACATTTTGGTTTTTTCTCCTTGGAGTGGATGTGGGCTTAGTTCCTCCCTTTACTCACACTCTACACCCTTGTGATGTTTGTAATTGCTCATTGTCGTTCATATTTGTATTTTTCAGTCCCTTTATGTATTGTCTTCTGTGCCCTTGTCTTTTTTTTAATTTAATGTTTGTTTTCTTTTTTCAGTTCTATACCTAGTTCTGATACTTTTGTTTGTTTTTCGTCTAAACTGCTTCTACCTAGGGTCTGGATGTGAGTGTGGATGTGATGTGGGGGTGGGTGTGCGGATGTGGGTGTGAGTGCAGGTTTATGGTTTGGGGTCTGTGGTGTGGATGTGTGGATCTCATAACGGAGAAGTCCAACAACCACACCCATACCCTACGTGAGTTCAAAATTTGGAGTTTACGTGTGGAACTCACTCTTTTTATCTCATTTTATTACTATTTTTATTGTGAATTACAAAAAATTAAAAAATTAGAAAAATTAGAAAAATTGAAAAATAAAAAAAAATTTAGTAACACAAAATTTTAAAAAATTTAGAAAATTAGAAAAAAACAGAAAAATTAAAAATCTCGAAAAATACCAAAAAATTGCTAATAGAAAACATTTTTAAAAGTTAGAATAGTTTTAAAAACCTCGAAAAACTAAAAGATTAAAAATGTAGAAAAATTTAAATAAATTACTAATAAAAAAACTATTTATGTAAGAGTTCTCTTCCTATATGTTTTATTTAGTGAAATATATTTTTTTGACGTTTTGATCAATGAAATCAATCTTCTTCAGAAAAATGAGCGCTTATGATAGATAAAATTAAGATAAAAGGATATGGATAAATATGATTCAATAGATATTAAAAAAAAATTAAAAAAGTAGAAAATTTAAAACTAAAAAATAACATTTGAGATTAATATTCTATCTGTGGTAGTGGAATGAATTAGGAACCGAAATTTCACGAAGACTTCCTTTTTTTTACAGTTCCGGTGTGGCTCATTTTTAGCGCTAGTTTGATCAATGACAAATAAGGAGGAGTCACTTGTAATTGGTTGGTGTTAGTTACAGTATATTTGTACGACAAGCATGATTCGACGCAATTGCGTTTATCTGAGTCAGAATAACCGCAGTTTGTGATAGAGTTGTCATTATGATCAATGCCCTGCAGTTGGTAAAAAAGAGATGGCATGGGCACATAGAGATAGTTGCAGTCGATTACATTTGTTGGCGGTGTGTATTCGCGTGATGTTTTGATTTCAAAGGTGGAAATACTTGGAATGTAGTAGGGAAGTTCTTTATTTTTTTATTAATGATGAATTTATAAAATTCGATGATGGATGGAGGTATAAAAAGGCAACAATAGGGAGAACGTCAATCCATTAAATATATATCTTTTAGATGTGGTTGTGAAGGACAGTCATGTCCTTGCTATCGTTCTATACAATGATATTCTGTTTCTCTCAATTTTTTTTGCTTGACTTGTTCTATGACTAATGGGATATTGTTTCTCGTCGTGGTGATTTCTCGTGTTGTGCTAGCTTCACATCGATATTAATTGTAAAAAAAGGTATGAGATTTTAGTCGAATGGTAAAAGGATGTTGTGCGTTCGTCTTTTCAATAGTAACCTAGTTCGAATCCACTTAACAGCATTCGGAAGCAGATGATGTTTCAAACATGAACAATTCAACACTGAATTTTCACACTGTTGATAAACAGAACTTGACTGATGCTTCCTATGTATGATTTTATTGAGAATTTTTTCGATCGAAAGAAAAAAAGGGTGTGGGTGGGGGTTTATTAGAAGAAGAATAACACCCACACCCACAATAATGGCTTATACAATCAGTAATGAAAATTATATTGAATGAACAAAAATATGTATGTTTTTGAAAATAATTCTTTAAATAATTTAATGCAAATGGAACATTTTTGTCTCACTGTATTACCAACAAATGATATCTTCTCTATGTGTATCAACTATACAGATTCATTTTCAATTGCTGCTCTATTAAATAGGATTTGTATTTGTGTGTCAGAGGCCGTCCGATAGAGAGTAACACGGACAATTGAATGTCAATTTTAGAAAAATTTTTTATATTCGATATATAACAAACAACATTCAATTATATACATGTTTGATTGATATGTGCCTAATTTACAATTGCATTGAACAAAAGTATGTAGATATGTGACAGATTCTACAGACAATATCATTACCATATCATCATCCTCAAAACATAGAGCAACAAGTGTGGGTGGTTAGAAAACATAGATACATTCGAAATATTTCTATAGGAGCATCCGAGAAACACACATAGTTGAAAAGTGTGAAAATTCAGTTGTTAAGTACTTGAACTAAACCATATTATAATTAAATAGTTGAATCTATCAACTGTACAGTGAAGACAATCGAATGGAACCAGCAACTTTGGGGCTATTATAGTCCCCTATCTTTTGAACACAAACAAGATGAATAATCAAAGTGATCAATCAAAATAAACATTTCTAATCGATTAAACATGATTGATGAAATTTTTTGTTTTCGTCCATTTAGAACGTCCTTTTGATCTTATATTGACATGTCTGGTCAATAACTAAGTATCAATCGATGGATGACATGTTCAATGAGTTCCTTTTTTTTTTGAATAATAGATCATCGATCGATCAATTTGTCTGAACAATTATACACCTTCCAGTTCATTGACTATCTTCTTTTTCTCTGAAACTCTTTCTTTGAATCTTTTTTTTTCATCAAGAACTATTTTTTCAACCAACCGTCAACGAGAGTTTCTACATATGTTCGTTTTTCTCTTTCGATTTCTGTCGATCGTTCTCTCTCTGTCTTGCTGTTCAATAATATAAAAAGTCGATGATATTCAACAAAAAGGAATCATTTTGATTATCCTATCTTCATTGTTGCGAACAATATTCTTCTTACTAAGGTAAGTACTGCAAAATACTCTTTTTCTCATCCCTCATCCAGTTTATATTTTTTGACTACATAATTTTCCTATCTATACTCAATATCAGAAGATATACCATCGTAGTTTATCCTGATAGAATCGACTGATTTTATTGTAGCATCTCTTCATTCTTTAAAGATTTGTTTTAACCATAAAAGCATATCTTGTTTGGATTCTTCTTTTTGAATCTCTAATAGATATGTCATCTAAAGAGCCTAGTTGCTTAGGTGAAATATCGATATCATGGTAGCTTAACACATCCATACCCTAGTTTTCGACGCTGAACACGAATATCGTGACAGACTTAAAATTTCAGCTCAACGGACCGAGATCGAGCTTTTGATCTTCTCTCATAATGATACTTATTGACAGCATTTCGAAAAAAAGTGGTTTTTGAGAACAACCTTTTTTCGCTCATTTTTACATGGTTTTTTAGCGGAAGAGTCGGTGCAGTTTTGGGGAAAATCCCTATCGTGTTCAAAGCGTATTAAGGTCACTTCGGCATGTATTACTATTGACCTCAGTCATAAGTGAACGGTACCCATCGGCCGTTTTAGTAACCGTCTATCTAGAAGAAAACAAGTCTTAGCCAATGTTTATACACCATTTTGAAGTCCACCTAAAACCGCATCGATCTAGGCTATCTGTTGTCACAACAGATTTGACCCCACAGAAACTACCTGAGACAGAAAGTAGAATAGGCCAAAGGGACCAATACAGAGAAATTGATCTGGAAATTTTTTTCTTGACGGTCTCTGAAGAAACAAATATACAGACCTATGTCAAAACACACGGGCTATCTTTTTGGCATATTTAAATGAAGATCTAAGTAGGGGCCGATTTTGGACCTTATCCAGAGGTGTCATTTCAAGATAACATGTGAAAGCGTAGCCGCCTTCGGTGGCTGTATGTAAAGAACGATTTTATCTGTTTTAATCAGCATAAGAATTTCTTTTTTCGTTGACTTGTATTGATTTACTTCTTCGAAAATGAATCTTTTATACTAGTATGATGCCACTTGATAATCCTTATCAGTAACTAGTGAAATATCTATATGTATTGTGGTAATTTGTCTCACATCCCACCCTCATTTCGAAAGATCACATGTTAATCGTTGATATTTCGGTATCTTTTCAAAAAAAACCAAAAATCTGGTGTGTTCGAAGAAGATCTCCAGATTCAGAAGCAAAATGCATCATTGTTTGGCTTTTCTACACAAACTTTTTGTTTCTGCTTCGAGTGTGAAGAACGACTATGATTATGCTTTTTTCTCATATCTTATCATTACAATCAAACAAGTATGAGACTTTTTTTCGTGTCTGTGCTTACGCATAGAGGAACGGTGTTCCTTGTTGAAACCTTATCTATTCGGTCTTAGTCATAGTTTCACTTGTGTTTTTTTGTGTCTCCAACTGAAACTTGTCAAGCACGTTAGCAAATCACGAACTGTCTTGAATCGCAAATATGACAAGTCGATTCAGTAAGGGAACGGTGGAAATAATCAGGCATGTATCATAATCTTGACCTGAAAAGGAGGAATTCAATATCAATATTTGGAGTAGTGCACCCTACATATATATTTTATTTCAGCCAGCCACCGAAATCTCGATTTCGTTTGATCACACTTCCCAGACTCCTAAGTGTTCTTGTTGGAATTTTTGTCGTTACCACAATTGTATTCGCTACCCTCTATGGCATAAAAAAAACAGGATACCAGCAGCAACAACTGTAGTAACAACAATATTCCCACCTTCAACGACAACAACAACAACAACTACAACACCATTAACAACAACAGCAAAAGGTATTGTTCTTGCATTGAAATCAGATCTGCTAATTCTTTCGTTTCAGTCGATCAAGACTTATGCTTGACTCCATATTGTATCAAAGCAGGTAACTTACATATAATTTTGTAAGAAAATCAATAAAAAATAATTATTTATTTTGTAGCCTACTATCTAATCGAAAGTATCGATGAAACAGTTGAACCATGTGAAGATTTTTACCATTTTGCTTGTGGAACATGGCTGAAAAATGCTCGAATCCCTGAAGATAGTATGTAGCCATCTTTACATGGCAAAGTAAAATTGTAAGTTTATTTTAGCCAGTGTTCAAAATATCTTCAATCTCTTGGATACACAATTAGATTTCAACATAATTGGTATGAAGAAAAATGTCCCATCCATCTCTAATCTTATTTCTATTAAGATCTTTTATCATCAACACCGGGAAATGGAGCCGTTGAACCAAAAGCTGTTATTAATGCTCGTAATTTATACAAATCATGTATAAATGACACAAATATTGAAATTGATGGTGTCGAACTCGTTCTCCCTATCATTAATACTGAGCTTGGTGGATGGCCTATTTTACAAGGTGCTTCATGGAATGTTTCGACTTTTAACTTATCAAATCTTTTACTCAAACTGCGTAAATACGATAATGGAATCGTTTTTAGTGTTGCTACAGCAACTGATCAAAAAAATGCATCAGTTTATGACATTGACGTAAGAAATAATACTTGTTTAACATTTTTTAAAGAAAATATTTCAGCTCGGACAAGGTAGTCTCGGTTTACAAGAAAGAGAATATTACAATATTGAAACGAATGTTACTGCACCTTACCGTCAGTTTATGAATGATTTAGCTTCGCAATTGACAAATGAAACATCATCAATTCCAGCTGATGTTCTTGCCATTTATTTATTTGAAAAAAGTATTTCTCAAGTAATTTCTCTTTATTTTTTTTCGATATTTAGTAATATTTTATTCCTTTAGTATCATTGGACCTTATATGAACAACTGCGTCGAGTTAATGAAACTATTCAAACAACTGTTGGAAATCTTTCTAATTCATTCAAATCTAATGTAAGTATTTTTCTGAATTATCTGATTGATTTTTTAAATCATATAAATCAATAGTTTGATTTTACTAATTACCTTCGTCAATCGTATCTCATTGGCAATGTAACTTTACTCGATACCGACATCGTATCTGTCAGTGAAGTTGCATATTTAGTAAATCTTTCTTTAATTCTTGAGCAAACTCCAGCACGTGTTGTTCAAAATTATTTAATTTGGCGTTTTATGATGAATCGAGCAAGTAGTATGCCAAAACGAATTCGAAGTACTCGCGAACAATTTGATCGAGTATTTTATGGCATAAGTTCTGAACCAGCACGTGCAACAACTTGTGCTAATTACGTTAATGATAATATGGGTTTCGCAGTTTCTAGACTTTATATTAGAAAATATTTTAATGATAATGCTCGTAATCAATCAAAAGAGCTCATTAAAAATATTCGAAGTTCAATGATGACTATGCTTCAACAAGCGTCATGGATGGATAATGAATCAAAACAAAAAGCTATTGATAAAGTTATGGAATTTTTTTTTTCAAAAATTAATAACTAACATTTTATTTTCTTTGTAGGCTCAAGCTATCTATGAAAATATTGGTTATCCAGATTATGTAGCTAGTGATAATATAACACAATTGGAAAAAATGTATACTGAAGTAAAACTATCATATATAGATTTAATAAATTTCGAGTATTTGTTGGTATTTGAAAAATTTTAGTATGTTTTTAATGCATCATATATTAATAATGTTCTTGAAATGCAACGAGTTAAAGCTCGAGAAGATTTTCGAACACTTCGTGAAGTTGTTGATCATCGTTCATGGGGTGATCTTCCTCCAACTGTAGTCAATGCTTTCTATGAACCATCGACAAATGCTCTCTGTAATATTTTATTCTCTTTTAAAGAATTTTAGAAAATCAATTTTATTTTTTTTATTCATTAGCCTTTCCAGCTGCTATCCTGCAAATGCCGTATTTTAATAAAGATGCACCCAAGTAAATTTGAGTTTTTTTCTTTTGAAAGCTATTTATTTATTTTTTTCTTATATTTTTCCTTTAGCTATCTTAACTATGGTGGTATGTATTAATTTAGTTGGTATTGATTGGGAAAAAGTTATTTGATTTAGGTATTGGTATGGTAATCGGACATGAAATAACACATGGATTTGATGATGATGGTCGTCAATATGATAAAAATGGAAATCGAGTTCCTTGGTGGTCAAATAGTATAATAAACCAATTTAATGAACGTAAACAATGCATCATTGATCAATATAGCAACTATACAGTGGAACAAATCCATAAGAATGTCCCTTTTATTTTAATTTTTGATTCGATGATAAATTGATATGATTTATTTTTAGTTGAATGGTGAACAAACACAAGGAGAAAATATTGCTGACAATGGTGGTATCAAAAGTTCATTCTTTGCAAGTCAATCATATGCATGTGTTGAAAATTTTGAAAATGTAAATCTTTATTAAATAGGCTTATCAAAATTGAGTAAAGAAAAATCCAAATGTTGACAAAAGATTAGCAGGCCTAAGTAAATATTCTCAAGGACAAATGTTCTTTATTGGATATGCCCATGGATGGTGTGCAAAATTTACTGATGCTTATGCTTTAAATAGAGTTTTAACAGACGTACATTCTCTTGCACAATTTAGGTATTTTATAATCTTTTCATTTCTTATTTTGTTATTCATTGATACATTTACTTTTGTCTTATTTTTAGAGTTCTTGGTCCACTGTCGAATTTTGCTGAATTCGATCGTGTATTCAACTGCACACCTGGTCAAGGAAATAGTCGAGTTAAAAAATGTGCTGTTTGGTAGTGTGTCTGTGCGCGCGCTTATGTTAATTTAAATAAATACTACTATTTAATCTTTTCTTTTTATAGACATTTTTCTTTTAGAATAAAAATAGTGAAAAATGAAGAACATTTTTTCTCTTAAAGTCTCGAACTGTTTCGCATCAGCTAACTCATCATTCGGTGGAATTTATCAAGAATCAATGAAAAATAGAATTGAACTGAATGAAAGAAGTATTCAAAAGCCAATTACTCATAATGAATGACATAGAAATGTATTCAGACTTTTTATCTTATACAAAATTGATTAGTAGAGTATAGGTGTGTAAAATCATAATTCAGGCGTTTTCGATTTTAATTACCAATAACAGCATCATCTTTTTGATAAAGAAAGGTAATCAATGTTATATTGAGCATAATGAATTTTAGCAATGCTTAAAAACAAAAACAATTACTTGATCAAGAACAAAATTCAAGTGATTGATCTTCTCATTCCTAGTAAACAAAAATCGGTTGATGAGGAATTGTTCACAATCTGTCTCTTAACATGAACAAACATTTACTTCACTTCGTTGTTTTCATTTCATGTTCATACGAATCTCTTGAATGGCTCAGAATTTCATTTGTCATTTCATATACAGATTTTTGTTTTGAAAACGGATATAAATATTCGTAATAAACAAATATTTAAAAAAGAAGTTGTCAATAACTTGAATTTTAGTATTTCTAATTTATTAAATAAGAAATGAGAAAAAGTTTAGAAATATTATGATCATAGGCGCCTCAATAGGTGAACTCGTTTAAAAGAATCCGACAAAATCTATCGAAAATCTTTCAATCTACCAACTGAATCATCGATTACTTGCTAGCTTTATTGATCTCAGGATATATTTGGTTATGATATCTGATACGTGAATATCTTATTGTATTTTTTAATGTTGACTGCTAAATGAAAAATAACAAAAAAGAAGTACACAGTTTCAAAAGAAAACATGGTGCATATATTCAAATAAATTGTTTGTCTACGGCGAGGCTTCTTTGAAAGAGGTTTTCATATGTAATTATATATATGCATTGTAAATAATTGGGAAAAAAAAGACTTTTTTTTTTGCATACGCTTCGAAGAAAACTACATTTTTTAACGTTTACACAAACAAGTGCGACACTCCTTTGTAATAAGAATAAAAGTACGTTGTTACTTTTTTATGAAAAGTGTGCTGCAATACTTCCGCTTCGTTGATTGTAACAAATATATTACAAGTAGAGTTACCATGGAAAATTTCCTGTTATTCTTTTACACAAAAGTACTTTTTAAATAGTTGTCTACTTTTTTTTCTTCTATTAAAAACAAAATATTAACATTAGTAATTTCAAAAATATAGATTTCAAACAAAAACTATGTCGAGAAGAAACTTTGTCTGTAAATATGTATGCTGATTTTATTCTCGTTTCTCTTTTCTTGCTATTTAAATATTCTTTTTGTAGAATCCAGCTCAATATGATTTTGCATTCCAATCACTTCCTATTAATCGTCGTCGATGTATTGCCTTTCTTCCCGACAAGTATTGATACAAATATATATATACATAACTCTTCCTTTGTTTCTTATAGTCCAAATGACAAATTATGTCATTGTAATCGAACTAAAGATGAACATCTCAATACGAATGATCAATGGCAATCGAATGAAAAATGCTGTGCAGATATTCATACGACGAAAGATTCAACAAAAGAACAAGGACTTTCTCTCATAAATGGAGCACCAGTAAGAAAATTATATTCGTCTTTGATTGTTTAATTTTAATGAAGTAGTATGTACGATGTGATATTCAAACTGATCCATCTATTGTCGAAACAATACTACTTGATATTTGGCGCATTCCACGTCCTTCACTTCTAATGCAAGTAACAGGCGGACATAAATACTTTAAATTACGAGGAAAAATGGAAGTTAATTTTCTTGATGATTTTGTAAAGTTTGTGAGTAAATCAAGTAAGAAAAGTACTCTTCATCTGCCTACTTTGACAGTCACTAATCTATTCAGATAGTTGGTTGTTAACTAATGGAGCAAATGTTGGTATTGTACAACTCATTGGACAAGTCATTCGTAAGAGAAAACTGACACAACTATAAGATACGACTGTTCCTATTACCGTATGTATTTATAGATGTGTCAAAAATATAAACGATTTTCAAAGATCAAAGAAAAATACAGATGTTCTAAGTTATAGCTAATTTAAAAAGTCGAATAGAAGCTCTTGAAAATAAAGAAATTAAAAATATCCAAAAAAATAGTCATATTTGATACCTAGATAAGCTGTTAGTCAATCTACAATGTCTTATTCGATCATTTTCACGCAGTACTCGCGCATCTCTATAGATGTTTTTTTTCGATTAAGCGCTCTGTGTTTTGGGATAACGCTAAAGACCATTCTTAATTAGTTTTGCAGAGACTTGAATGAGAAATCTTTCGGCAAAACAATCATATCTAAATCATCAATTAGAACAAAATTTAAAACACATAAAAATTAATCAAGTTGAGTGCGACTGATTTATTTTTTGACAAAAAACAGAAGCACAAACGAACAAGATAGCTCGAATGATTGGTTTGTTCGACCACATTATAACTATGAACTCTAATTAAAGTCAATATGGAATTTTTGTATTCGCTGATTACCAGAATCAAGAACGTAAAGATTGTTTTGTCTATCGAAGGACAAATCACAAGGATAATTGAATTGATTTGCTTGTGCTCCTTGTCCATGTCCACCAACAACAACACTACCTTGTGTAGCTCCTTTCAACCAACGCATTACTCGATGATTGTACCGATCTGCAACATAGACAGTACCTAGCTCATCAACCATTACTCCATGAGGACATGTCAATTGTTTCAGATCATTTCCTGAGCTTTGGCCGCCAGCAACAACAATACCTTGTTTTGCACCTTTCATCCATTTTATCACACGATGATTGCCATAATCTGATACGTATACTGAATGATTCTGATCGACGAAGATGTAGTGAGGATAGCTAAGCTGGTTGAAACCACCACCTTGTTCATTTTCACCTGCTACTATTGTTCCATCAATGTCGCCGATTTTCCATCGTTTCACTTCATGCTTTTCATAGTTCGAGACATAGAGATATCCATCGTAATCCATTATCATACCCCAACAGGCAATACTCGAAATGATTGTTTCTCTACTAGTACCATTTTGACCAGGCCATCGTACTATTCGTTTGTTATAATAATCACAGTTGATAAGACAATCACTCTGTTTATCGACAATTACCTTCAGTGGACCATCTAATTGATCATTTCGATTTTCTTGCCTATTTCCACCTGCCACAACTTCGCCATTCATTGAACCGTTTTCCCATTTTACAATACGATGGTTGAAATGGTCAGTCACATAGATTGTTTGATCATCATCAACATACGTATATACAAAGTGGCCTAGCGAGTTGATTCAATCCATTACCCCATTCATTTCCTCCAGCCACTGTAATACCGTTGTGTATCCACCTTGTATTGGCACTATCATTCGGAATCCGCAGCGGTGCTAGAATAAAACAGAGATTTTTAGTGAAAATGTGTGGTCCTTGTTTTCTATTCATCAGTATTGAACCTACTCGAACAGAAATAAACTTCTTTTTAAAGAAAACAATCAGATTTGCTCTGCGATATACAATGAGCACGAAGAAGCACACCAAAACAGTTAAGTATTATTTCTCTTGTTCTATAAAGTATCATATTTTTTTGCGATTTCTGCAATGCTATGCTGTTTTTTAGCTGATTCTAAGTCATCAGTACTAAATATAAGATTAAATGCTTTTTTAAATCTTCCAAATATGTTTTCACTTTTCTACCTATAACTTCATTCATTTTCTTTTTGTTACATTTCAAATTGACCTATTTTTGGTTTTTATTCACATAAAGAAGTATGTCTATCCACAGATTTGAAAACTATCTAGCAAGTATAATTTTTGTTGAACGAGCAAAATCACTTGGAAGATTTTATAAAGACAATAAAACTTCGATTTCTCTCAAAACTCTTTATTCAAATATAATATTCTTCGATGATTCCTATTTAAACATAGCTAAAGAATTTCATCTTCATTGACTCAGTCTCGATGAACAGATATTACGACAAGTAATGCAATGCAAACATCTCTAAGTCTTCTACTGAAAGTTGGTTATTATGGTAAGGATTTCGTTCATCTATATATCAGAAGCATACGTGCGATGGACCTTTCAGATCAATATCTAGTCGTTCGTCGGCGTGCTACTCACGGCTAGCCACTTTAATGTTCAAGTCTACCTTACTAATCAGTAGTAGTGCTTCTAATGATTTAGTTCATTCACTTTGGGGTCCTATCAACTACACTATGTTAATGTAGTGTCTCTAGCTGTAAGCAAACAATAATTAGCTAAAAATATGCTCTGGAAAATGATTGCAATAAAAATGACTATTTCATCTAACAAAATTTGAATAGTATACGTTGGGATTTTCACTCAGGAAGGTAGTAAGTGAATGATATTACAATCGTGAAAAAGTTGCATCTGAAATAATAAGCCAATATTTTATGATGGATTAAATAAGAATCATTTTTTTTCTTCACGAGTTTTGTCTATAATAAAAATAATCCATAATAGTTAAAAACAAAAAAAAACATCCTTTACTTTTGTTGAATTCTTTCGGAATGGTTAAAGTTAACAAAAGTTGAAATATATTAATAATCTTCTTTTTTTCTAACACTGTTTGCTTTATAGTGG